CCTTATTATACTTGGAAAAACTCGTTTTTCGACATATTATCTTCTTTGGTAATTGTGCTCCTCATTTTCTAATTATGTTGCTTCTTTAGACAATGTTGAGCAATGTGATTGGCTTCTCTACAATATAAACATAACCCTTCTTACCAATGTCAAGTCTTTTCTTGCTTTGTGAGAGATTTAAAATATATCATATCAATTTGCATTGATTTTGGCTTTGACGAATACATTTCAAAAAACTTGGGAGCTACTACCATTACTTGACTTGTTCTTTTTCAACCAAATCTTTGTTCTTCATGCCTTTCAAATAAATGATTGTTGCATGTAATAACTTGAGTCATAATTTGTTCCAAAGATTCTACTTTTGGCATTGTTAATAACAAATCTTTGACGCTATCCTTCAACCCATATCAAAATTGGTTGATAAGTATCTTATCGTTCTAATCCACATTGCAAGTGAGGTTTTGGAATTTGATAGCAAATATAGTGGCTGATTGTGATCCTTATTGTAAGAATAAAAGCTTGGTCTCTACTACTCATTCTTGATCACTTTCTCCAAATGTGGCCGTAAACACTTCTAGGAATGAATTTAAATCGTAAAGGAGTCGTGAATCTTTTTCCATTAAAGGTACAAACCAAGAGAGAGCACTTCCTGATAGTAGTGCGCCTATGAATCCGACTTAGATAAATCCATTAAAATATTGGAAAGAGTGCAACCTAAGATAGAACTTGACTTGTTGCAAAAATCCTCAAAATTTTGATCTTGTTCCATCAAACTTCTCAGGCATACTAATACTTATCCTTGTCATACTTATAGAAGCAAAATTCCTTAGATTTGGTTGTGACATTGATCTACTTGCTTCTTTCAATTGCACAACTTGTTGTTGCAGACTTTGAACTTCTTCCATACAAGTAGGCACAGTACTTCCATGATTCATGTTAAAAATATGTGAGATTTCCACTCTTAGAGTATTGATAAGCTCATGAAGATCTGCCATAGTTACAAATCTATTCTCACTTCCGTTGAGAGTAGCATCCATAATCTTTCCTTCTATAGACAACTCAAACAAATTCAAAAGTTAAATTAGAGAAGGGTGATCCACAACCTCTAAAAACAAATCCCAGAAAGAGGGATAATCCACTCTCTTTAAGCAAAAGATCAGTGTTAGAAAATAAGATTTTTTGTTTAAAAATGGGTAGTCCACAACCTTCAAAACACAACAATAGAAATGAAATAATCCATTCGCTTCTAAAATAAGAGAGAAATAATATGTTAGCACTCTTATCAAACTATTAAGGACATGAATCTTGAAGAAAGAGAATCCTCAATACACTCTTCTATCACTGAAGAAAACTAGAAAGTCACTCAAAAAGTGATGTAATATTAATTAAAATAGCTATTGCCAAAAACAAGAAGACTAGAAAGTCTTGAAATAAGACTAAGACTAGAAAGGCATTGACAAGAGTGAAGAAGGCTTCACTCTTGCCTCCACATATACTATCTAACTAAGAGCTACATGGCGATGTCCTATAGGACCTCGAACATGTGTTGACTTTGCTAGCCACTTGTCTTATCTTACAAGGTAAGTTATCTATGTATGCACCATGTATTTGGCTTATTCCACAAACTACTACACAGAGATAACTTATTCTACAAGCTACCAATACATGGTTAGCTTTTTGGCCAAGTTTCTAACCTACAAATACATCTAAAGTCAAAATTACATCTATTAAGCTTCTAGGAAGCTTCTTTAGAAGATTTTATGAAATTATTCTATATTTATCTATTTCTACTTAATCATATAAGTAAATATTGAGATAAATGTATATGCACAAGACACAATGAAGGTGTGAGTAAAAGATGATTAAGAACAACAAAAAAATAACATGGATGCTTATCATAAGAAATAATCTCATTTCCATATTAGTGATAAGTTATGGTTACTTTGTCATAATATTAAAACTATTTGCACTTGTGACAAGTTAAATTATCATAGACTTGGACCATTTTTTATTTATAAACAAGTCAATTTAGTCGCTTATTGATTACATCTACCAAAATTTATGAAAATCCATCCCATATTATATGTATTTTTTTTAAAGCCATATAGGATAGTGAATACCTCAAAAAGAAGAAAAATACCATCGCCTCTTATAAAAGTGGATAATAATCAAGAATTTGAGGTAGAAGAAGTTTTAGACTGAAGGCAACATTGACATAGGTTGAAATATCTTATTCATTGGTGCACATATGATATAAGTAAATGCACGTGGGAGCCAACAAAAAATCTTATAAATGTAATAGAAAAGGTTAAAGCTTTTTATCAATGACATCTATCAAAACTAAGATCAAAGATAACAAACCTTTGCAATAAAAAAAATATAATTTAGGAAAGATTGTATTCTATTTTTTGTCCATGTTTGTAATTTCTATATAATTGTGGCGTTAAGAAGATGGAGAATTAACAGCTAGCATTCCAATTATCATAGCCTTTAAGACAATATAATAGGGATGAAGAACTTCAAGAATAACATATTCTCTCTTAAATAGATAGTGAGATACAATGCATTTGATATCATGACTTGGAAAGAGACTTTCAATGTTTGGTGATTGTATTGGAGGTATGAATGTTATGCAAAGTCAATATGCTTTTGGATGTCTTATAGAATGTTGCCACATAGATCCTAGATAGATAGTATATATAGAGGCAAGAATGAAGCCTTCTTTACTTTTGTCAACTCTTTTCTCCACATTGCAATTGTATCACTAGACGCACTCAAAATTTGTTAGAGCTTTGAGAAAGAAAACAATGGTAATGCTTGAAATCCAATGACATGGTGTCACAGAGTTAAAATTATGGCAAATTGTGATAAAAATGTTAACATCGTAATTGTGATGAGTGGCATGATGAAGAAGACTTCCATAAATAATTATATGTATGGAATGTTTTTTATGATGAATTCTTACAATTCCATTAGCTCAATCAAAGATTATAGGATAACAAAACATTGTAAGGATGCTTGTTTGAATTCATAGCCGAGTGACCACAGATATTTTATCATAAGATATTGAAGACTTGAGATTCAGCCATCTGACCAAGTACACAATTTCTTCAGGATTAGCACTCCATGTTTAGTTAGAACAACAGATCACTTCTACATGCAATCCATCCATAACTACTGCTGGATCTCATATACTTGCTAAGAAAGGCTAAAATTCCCTAGAAAAGGCCATAGGTCACAACGGTACACATCCAAAGTCGTCCAACAACCAACATGACAACCCATTGAGTCAAGTGTTTGCAATAACATGTAGTATTCCACTTCTCAGTCTTCTATGGATTCTTCATTATCATGCAATGTGTGCAACAATGCCTTCACACAACTAATGGAGTTGAAAGTGAACTCCTAAGTAGCATGCAATTAGTCAATCTCAAAATATAGAGAAGCAATTTTGGATGCAACAATGTAAATAGGTCTCATTCCATCAACATAATCTTACAGTTACTTTTTCCTGGTGGTGTGCTTCTAATGCAAGCACAAGGACCAGCATTTGACTACAAGGATGCATTGGAAAAGTCTCTCCTGTTTTATACACGAAATTTACTGAATTTTTTATTTTGAACATTGTAATAATAGTTTATATATGTAATCAATGTCTATAGAAAGACAGAAAAACAAAGAAATTAATAAAAGAGAGCTCTACTTCATTGAACTTTGTTACCACTCTAAAAGGCATTTAGTATCATTTGTATTAATTTTTATAATAGTGAAATTTAGTCTTTTTGGAACATTAGTGTTTAGAATAAATTACATTGGTCTTTAAATTATTAGTTGTAAGATAATAAACCAAAATCAGCAACACAGTTCAATTTGTTTCTTGTGTGGATGCAGAATACAAACTCAAGTTTACACTACAAACAATAATACAATACAAGATTTCAATAAAGAAATTAAAAAAAACAAAAAAAACAAAAAAAAAAATTAGTCAAAAAAATGCTAAAAATACAAATTAATTAAGTTGTACTGGAATTATGACTTCTTGATTTTGTATTGAATGAAATCATTAAGTTTAAAAAATTGTGTGTGAGTTTTGTTGGAAAACATTCACATGTTCAATTATGTCGATGCTTGTGTACTTCAAGATGTTTGGGCAAAAAAATTTTAGTTGTAATGATTCTGATCAGTGAAAATGCCTTAATATCGAAAACACCAAAAAATAAGAGAGTTTGCTTATACCTTTGACTTTTTTCCCAAGATGGCTGCTTGACCTATTTTCTAAGATCATCATATTTTTAAAACCTACATCTTACTTTTCCTAGCTAGATTTAGTTGAGGGCAGTACTATTCAATTCAAGTATGCACAGGCTCCAAGAAGATGGATATGGTCACTTACATTCATCCTTTACACAAATGATGCATTATATAGTGAGATGTTCATTATTACATGTAATGAAATAATACTCTTATGGGTTTTACAATATATACATATCTATATATATAAAAGACACTTTGCTTTTTCTTCAAACGTCCGGACGTCGTCGCTCCAATGGCAACGACACTCACATGGATAGTTTTCTCAAGTAATAACTTGAATGGTAGACTTCCTGCATCTTAAAATAAGTTGACCTTTCTGCAGAAATACAACTTCTTCAATTCGCAGCATTTAGTGGCAGCTGCTTTATGGTCCATCCCATAACAGTCAACCTTGACGCATACCTCAAAAATCACAGCTCCTTGCGCTCGACTTTCGGAACATTCAGAAGTTCAACATTCCAGGTCGATGAGATGTTGCGAATATGTTGCCTCCGACTGCGCGACCTGAAGATCCTCGCACGGATTTTGAAACCAAATTCAGTGAACTTCACGTTTATATCCCAGGGTTGGTGTTGGGTGCAGGTCTTGGATCCTCTTCTGTGTGCATTATGTACCGGGTATATTGTTCCACTTCGCCACGAAGTCATACTTAAAACAGGGTTGAAGGCATATGGCGACTTCCAACGTAGATAAGTCTTGGATACTGAGCATGACCCAATGCAACTACTAATATTACAGAAATGTGTGTCTCTTACAACTTGAAAAACAAGGCTTTTTGATCCTGTCAAGAGAAGGAACTGGTGCAAGAATAATAAAATAGTAACTACTAAGAGAGGTCCCAGAGCAGGAGGCTTAATTCTACAAAGTTTCAAAAGGTTTCAGTTTCGGAAACCCATTCGACTAAAGCTCATTACCAACCTTTCAGGAACATAGTGGTGATTATCACCAGTTGGATGTTAATAACTGAAAATTTTCCAACTTTGGTGACCTATCCTCCGAACCCCTTGGAGTAGAGGATCCTCCTGTCGCTTCATTCAGTTTCATAGAATATTGAGGCAACTGATTTGCTCATACAAGAGCTTCAGTTTGGGACGAGGTTACTTTTGCCATTAATCCACAACTTCAAAACTTCTACCAAGGCTCGTCGCTCAACACATCAGCGCTGCTAATCACACGCACATCACTCAAAACTCTTAGATCCAATCCAAGGGTTAGAAAAATATAGAAACCTCAAAGCAGGAGTAGAGGCCCAGACCACTCACGACATATCATGATTTGAAAGCCACTTTAATGCTTGATGAACTGCCATTGAAACCCCCAGCGTATGCATAAGCCGCTCAACGCAGAGAGCTTTGCAGGAACTACAGCATAAAAAAGCAACAATTGTTCCCCTGAAATTTTGCATCGTCTTTGTTGATCATCTTTCCTACGGTACAGAGTGCTTTAAGCTAATGAAAACCACTAAGTTCAACGAGTGTCGTTTAACCAATACTAAAGAGCATTAGAATGCTTAAGGAGTCCCTGAGAATGTACACTCTACTCACGAACTCCGTCAGGTTTCCAGGTTTCAGAAACAGTTGAACGGATGTATGGTACATACTATTACTCATTCAAAACAAAACACGTGCTGGACATCATTATCGATACAAAGTTGTAAATTTTTTACAGCGTTTATCACCTATGCATAGGATGTTTACAGTGAGTTGTGAATTCGCAACGCAACGTTCCGGACAGAGATAAGATTACAAGTGATCTCTTGACCTAGAACGCCTTCGATCAACGCCACAGGCATCCAACGCTTTGGTTGTACCTCCAGGATGTACGATAAGTAGGTCTCTACTTTAGCATCATTGCTCTCCAACGACTTCTGTGCACACCAATCGTCACTTTGAGGGTGATTTTAGCGACAGGATTGCATCACTGTGTTTGAGACTTATTTTGCAGGTATACAGAACGATAAAGGGAAAACTGAGAGAAGCCGACAGATGTATGCAGATAAGAGGGCTATAGGAGGACAAACCTCAAGCATACGCCAGGTTCCTTTGAAAACCTGGAAATCCCCCTCCACAGTTTCGAAATGTAAGTCCCGTAGTGTGCCATCATCCAAGTCTTGAGCAGCCTCCTCAGTGACTTCTACCACAGCTTTAGCTTTGAACTTCACTCCCAGAGCAAAATTTTTCTGTCCAATCTGTTTCCCACATTTCCATATCGTTTACTCAAGAAAGGAATTTTGATAGCTGAGAACAGCCACACAAACTATAGCTTGTTACATATCCACATATCAACATTGTATGCACTAGCATGTATGAAAATTAGGGTTCTCTAAAAACAATTATAAGGCATTCCTCTGTCCATTTGTGACAAGCGATGCTGCAAACGACAGAATGGGCAACCAGAAATTGAGTAAGAAACCCAAACCCGATAACTGGATTAAAATGCAGATGGTTCGTGTTCATTGAATTCAACGATCAAAGACATTTGCCCAAGGGGATCGCTTAATTACTTCCAAGTGCAGTAGTGTTACGTTAGTATTAAATGAAGTGAGGAGGCACTGTCGTCCCGTAAGTTGTCCCAACATTTAACCATTAACTCTCTCCACTGCATTTGATTCCAGCAGCAATTACGTTTTGAATAGCCTGCAAGGTGTCGCAGAGCCTGAGGAAAAGAATTGAAGACCAGAGGAGCCGTGCTGCAAAATGTATTCCTCCATGGACACCTGACAAAGAAATTAATATTCTGATGAAGGGATTGGGTAAGATGAGTACCTGCTTAAGGCGAGCTCCGTTAGACCGACGCTGTAGCACACTGCTTTCAGCAAGCCCCGGAATATGGTCGGCCAGGTGGTCATAATCTGTCAACACTCCCCACACTGCCTCTAACGGAGCCTGGATTGCAATTGTAGCCTCCACCTTCCGCGTGTTGTTCCCCAAATCATCCACATTTAAATCTACATTCGCCTCCGCCGTAACCACAGCCACGCCATCGCCACCCGCTCCCTCTGAAATCAAGGTCTCTTCCGTCTCTTCTATCAGCCCGGCCACCACCCCAACCTCGTCTCGCCCTTGATGACTTTCAACCAATCGCAAACCACTCCGAGAGCTACTTCTACGAGAACAAAGGCTAGGTCTGACCTCACACGTCGCTAAAAAATCTGTTCGAGGCCGACTCACACCTACATTCCACCCATTCCTGAAACCTCTAGAATTCTTGTGCTCACAGCTATCAAACCTAACCGCCCCGCAAGCGATCCATGGAGCAGACATCAGTTGCGCCATCCTCAAATAAAAAAGAAAAAAGAAATGACAAAACCTGCTGAACAATCCCTCCCTGATCGGGGGAACCGAATTCCAACGAAACAAGAATCCAAACCTCACCCGGAATTCACAAGGCAGCAAATCCCACCCCTCAAGCAACAAAACCAGCAACACCTGCGACACTACGAAATCGGTCGTAAGACAGCCGTGGCAACCCCAATCCCTTCACCACCACCAAGCTCAATGTCGAGATGGGCACTTTTTCGAACGAGTAACGCACTCACATCCGTAATTGTCCTGCACACCGATCTCATTCGACATCATCTCCTCGCGCTTCTGCTTCGCCGGAGCTCTCACTCACCCTCACAGGTAGCGACAGGTAGGGGGGCTGTATGAACAGTTGGGTGGAGAGACGTGGACGAAGGGGGAAGTGAAACCTGCGACGCGATGCGATGGCGCCACAAAAGGGGGACGAAGGCGAGTATTGTTGGGTCTTCCTTCTGGTGCGACCAAGATCATTTCCGGCGGTGGGACAATTGGGTCCACATGAATGTGCGCAGGGTCTGCGCGAACCAGATGGATGGATGGATGAGCGGATGGATGGATGGATGAGCGGATGGATGGATTCCTCACTCGTTGCCGCCCTGCCTTCATTCATCCATCCGCTCCTCCATGAGAATTGAAACATGAACAAAGGGTGGGTGATATCAAGTTACACCATAGAATAGATTGGTGTGGTAGTTAGCAAAACATTTTGTATTTTGGTCAGGTTGGGTGGCTGCTAGGGGGCAAGGACAGACAGTGGGAACTTCATCTAGGATAGCCATTGCCAAGTAGAGGATGGAATGGTACTACTGTGCATTTAGTCTAATCTTGTAAAAATGTGTTTGAATTTTGCTCTGTAGACATTTTAGGTGAAGATAACATTAGAGTTGACACAGATAGCTTTGCAAAAATGGATATGTGGTTTGTTGTTGATTTTTTTTTTGATTTTTTTTTTTTTTGGTTTAATATTATTGTATCTCTACTTCCTTTTGTGTTTTAAATCACACAAAAGTTACTATTGTAATGTTGTATGTATTGCAAGACACTAACATCATAGCAGATATTAATGCAGAATTTAATTTTTGGTCTCTTCCTTGAAAGTAGTATTGTACAATTCTCTATATTATATATAGTATACAAGAGTAAAAAAAACATCTTTAATATTAAATTTAGTCACATAGCATTTGGATTTTGTGTTTTGTTTCAAGTGTGTATTACTTTTATAATTATGCTTAAATTTATTAATTCTTATCTTTGATCTTATAAAATAAATATTTTATTACTTCTTTATATGTATATTTGTTTCAAGTGTGTATTACTTTTATAATTACGCTTATTTGCAAGTTCATGTATAATTACAAAATAATTATATCAAAAACTTAATTTTTTAATAAAAAAACATAAATATATGATAGGTAAATATATTTTTAATGTATATTCCATTTTTGTTGAGTCTATAGCTACTTCTAATACAACAAATAGTCTAAAAGAAGTATTTATTTATTTATCTATTTAATATAGAATTTATATAAAACCCAAATCAATATACAATATAAAGTTAATTATTGAATAATTATCAATGTATTTTGTTAAATATTGTTTGGTAACCAAATTCTTAAGAACTTTGATATACGTTTGAATAACTATCTAAACTAAGCTTACTACCACCTATTATACTTTTGCTTTTAAATCATTATTGCAAAAATGGTAAAGTCTTATAAAAGCTTACATATAAAAAAATCCATTATCTTATTAATTTGTATATATCTATGAAATAGATAATAAAATAGATAATAATATAGACTTATTATATTAATATCATATATGTATAAAATTTAAATTAATTTACATAAAATATATAATATAGGTAATTTATTTTTACAAATAAGCAAACATTATTATGATTCTTTTAGATATTTTTTTATAATTTTATGCATATTTGGTATTAAAAAATTGATAATTTTTAATTATCATATAATAAAGCTTTATAATTTTCATTACTTAAAATTTTTAATTACTCAATATTAAGAATATTATGAATATGTGGTGCTTGTGACTAAATCTAAATACATGAAAATAATTCTTTATCTTTGATAATTCTTTATCTCTATCATGAATTTTTATAAGAGTGTAATCAACTTAACTAGCTTCTAGAACCTTTGAAAGTTAATTTAAAATAAAAATTCTTTATCTTTGATAATAATGCTATTAAATTTTTTTTTGTACAGAACAACTAATGTTAAAAAAAGTAAGCATGACATTACATTATGTACAAATTTTATGACTAAAATTATAATTTGAGATGTAATGAGATTAATAAAGAAGATTTATTTTTTTATAAATATGTTATACTTCATAAAAAATCTATATTTCAAGATATTAGTTATTAAAGTAATATTTTTTGATACTACTAGATCTTAATTATACATACAAAGAAGTAATAAAATATTTATTTTATAAGATCAAGAATAAGAATTTATGAATTTATAAAAATTCTTGTAACTAAGTATATAACAAAATAATTTAGGTTTTAAATTTATTTAATATATTATATTATCTTTTATAAAAACTATATTTTATTTAAATTAATTATTCATATTAGTTTTCATGAATTTGGTTTTGTAATCAAGTTTTATATAGAGTTTGAAAAAAACATATAACATATAATTTTCTTTTTTTATTCTATAAATTAATATTATATATTTTTTAAATTATCTTTAATCATGTACTTAAATTCCAAAGTCAAATATCTATTATTTCAAATAAAAAATTATTATAATTTTTTTAAAGAAATTATTTTTATCAATAATGATAATAATAGAATATTTATATATATAATTAATTCCTATTAGACATTATATAGAGGATTGTCATAGACATATTATTTTAGTAGTAGATTTTTATATATTTATATTACATATTTTTTGTATGATAAATTATTTTAATTTTTATATAATGGTTTTATATGTAAAAAATTAATTTGATATAAAAATATTAAAAATATTATTATGTCAAAAATTTAAAAACATCTTCATTCTCTATCTCTTTTTATATATATTTTATGAAAAATCTGCTTATTTTTTAATTTTTTAAATTTAATTCTTCTTTGCTATATTACTAATTCTTTTTTCTTTTTTCTTTTTGATAATTATATATATATATATATATATATATATATATATATATTTTGAACAATAATCTTGTTATATTAAGTTAATTGATTTAAGTGTAATGATACAATAAGATATTTTATATATTAAAAATCTTATCAAACTTTTTAAAATTTAATTATACTTGTATGTTTTTATTAGCAATAATTCCACCTAATTATTAAAGTGGTTTTAAAAAATAATATCAAAGATATATACTAAAGATTCTACCTATTTCTAAATTTTTTGTTAAAAGAATATTTACATATATAATTAATTTCTATTAGATATTATATAGAATGTTGCCATAGACATTTATAATTACATATATAAAAAGTATTAGGTAAAAATTAAATATAGGTAGATTTAATAATATCTTATAGATTAGATTTTTAGAAGCTTCATAGATGCAAATTTGACTTTAAGCATATTTGTAATTGATTAGTAGGTTAGAAACTTTGCCAACAAGTTGTCCATGTATTGCACATATTGATGACTTGTATTACAAGTTACTAATGTAGTGCACATGTAAGAAACTTATCTTGTAAGTTAGATAATTCTTCTTTATTCTTCTTAGTAAATTTCTTGTTTTTAGTCTTGTTTCAAAAGTCTCTAGTTTTCTTGTGATTGAAAATAACCATTTTAATATAATATTATACCATCTTGGAGTGAGTATCTACTTTTTTTTAGTGACGCAAAAATATATTGACCTTTTGATTCTTTGTAATTCATATCCCTCATAATTTGACAAGAGTATTAATTTATTATTTCTTTTTTAGTTTAAAAATAGGTAAATTATCTCACTTATTATTTTTTATACTTTAAAAGTTACAAACTATTTATCTTTAAACTAATATTTTTTACTTTCTAACTTTGATTTCTTCCTTAAAGAATTTCAACTATCCTTTGTGAGATCTCAATTATGCTCCAAAATTTAAATTTTTCTTATTTTCTTATTTTATGATAATTGAGCATGTTAGATTAGGATTTATATATATAGAATTTAGTTTCATAGAATTTTTAGGATTGAAACCTTTGATAGTATAAATTATAGCCTAATTCCTTGACTTAGGTTAATTAAGACCAAAGTGATAAGAGTTAGAAAATAAGGATAGCAACTTAGTTAGTTTTAATAATTTAGAGGTTGTTAGTCATTACTATGAGGGTTGACTAAAAGTCTATGAGTTTAGCTATAATCATTTCACATGATTTAAAATGAATTAGAATTATAATTTTTTAAAAGATTTAATGAAGTTTAGTAATGACAATTTTGAAATTTCTTCCAATTTAACAAAATCAAGTAGCATAGTAGTTCTTCTAATTAATGGAAGCCTTTTTAATGCAATGGTGGCATTGGATTCACCTTGTGGAGTGAAAAAAACAAGATCAGCACCATCTCCTTCAAAATATAAGTAGAGCAATGAAATTCTCATTTTAAAGGATTTTACATAGATTGCCAAGATCCTTGTAGGTAAAAGTTTCCATAAAAATTGCAATTGAGCATAGATTGAGACATGTGAATAGTCGATTTTAGCATAAAAAGGTGTTTTGAATACAATGGTGAAGTTATATTTGTCAAAAGGTGCTTTCTTGACCACTTACAAAAGCCATCAGCCTTGGTAACGAAATTAGCTCTTAGATGAATGAAGGCTATAGATTTACATTAGAGATCTTAGATATCAAGGGTAGAGATGTGGCCACCCTTCTAAAATCCACCATTCAATTGTATAAGAGTGGCTTGGTTCTCCAAGCCCTCTCTCTCTCCTCTTTTGATGAAAGACAAAGCCATGCCAAATTTCGGACCTAAATCCTAAATTTATTTTATTTTATTTTATTTAAATCTCATTGTGAACTTGTGGTTGTGTATGCATGAATCTTGAGTAGTGAATAATGGTCATTGGGTTTTAAAACATAGGTCATTGTAGTAGGTAGCTCCCTTGGCCTTCCACATACTCCAAGGATTCAAGAGTTTCACATTTCCCTCAATCAATTGTTTAATTTTTTGAATTTTGATGTGATTTTTTTTTTCTTGTAGCTTTTGGTGTTAGCTTTCCAATAAAGTAAGGATAGCTTGATTTAGTATAAGGGCGAAATTTTGGTGGAATTTTGAGTGTGTGGGGGTTGGCTGCCTTAGCATTTTAGATTATCCATCTTTGAAAAGGTATTTCTTAGTGCTTCCCGATTGGATTATTTTTAAATTTTAGAAATAAGTGCATCTTCAAGATGAGCTTCTATTGGCATAAATTTCACTGAATTCAAAGACGAATTAAATTTTTGATTAATTTTCAAGTAGAGG